TTACAACAAATCCCCAAGTTCTCCTTCTCCTTCTATTAGGCAGACTGATCCTCAACCATCTCCAGTGGTGGTAGCTCCTGAAAACCATTCTGACCAGTGTCAACGCCCCTCTCAGCAGCAGCCACCACTCGCAAATGAACAAAATGTCGGGCCTGTTGAGGTTATTACTATTTGATATTCTAAGTTTACTCACTCATTGATGCCTTAATAACTTTTTTTCTTTTTTTAGGGTACCGCTTTTTCTGAATCATCTGGGTCGCGCAGCAGGACTCCTGCTGATGAAGTGGTATGTTATTTATCTTGATTACCTGTTTTTTACACTCTCTACTACCCACCTCTCTTCCTATTCATATACTTTTTCCAAGATCGAGGAAGCTTCAATGGGAGGAGATTGCGGGGATGGTCAGATTGTAGCTGGGGGAGACGCTGTCGCCATGTCTGCAAACTACAAGAAGTTGATGGTCCTTGACATACCGCCTATGTAAGTTTTTCTACTTTTGTCTGCTTGCTTTAATTTCTTTAAAGCTCCTGTGTAGGCAGGGTTTGTAGATCTCCTTTAATCTATTTACAGATTCATATTATTTAATGAACACCTATGACATTTCATGAACTTTGTGTAGGGCATTCGGTGATGGTTTAGTGATCAAGGACTCTGAGTTGCTCATGATACCCACTATCATCCCTCCTGGCTATCCCAATGTTAGTACCCTTCCTTCCATATGTTGCAGCTGTTTACATTTGGCTTATGGTTTTTTATGTTTCCATAGGTAATGGACGCTTGTGTATCTGTCTTACGTGAGACCCTGTTTGACAACACTGATCCTGCTTCTGATCCTCGTGCTGATTTGCTTCCGTGTAAGTTCTATGGCTCGTTGGCGGTTCTGTATGCGAAGTTCAAGAAGGTGAAGCGGAAGGAAACTTTTGAGTTTTATCCCGCTCTTATCAATGAGATCACTACGAGGTTTAAGGCAACAGGCAGAGTTTGGCTGTCGCACATTGATCATTTGCTCTCTCCATTTAACATTGATAAAAATAGGTGGATAGCTGTTCACATTGACCTGACCTCTCACACTCTCACTGTGCTTGATCCAACTGCTGCTGCACGCCGGGGATCCCGTCTTAAGCCTGAGCTCGAGTTTATATGCGAGATGTTTCCTTATCTGGTACGGAAGGTTGGTGGCTCTGATCTAATGAAGAATTTCCCGCTTCAGCCACTCACCTTTGCTAGGAACACACATGTTTCCCAAGCGACTAACATAGCTAACAGTGGGATGCTCTCCTTGTTATTGCTGGAAGCATATGCTACAGGCGGGATGGACAAAGCGGTGCATGTTAAGGAAGATGGCATGCGCCTGCGTGCTGAGGAGTTGGTGGTGCAGATGTACGAGCACTGTTGTGGTGAACTTTGATGGCTGATGTGGCCTTACTCATTGGTGTACCCTCCTGGACTCTAATTTATCTTTTTTTTTTGCAACTATTCGGCTTTGTCAATTTCTTTCCCTTTCTGTTATGTTGAACCTTATTTCTTCTTTTGTTGTTTTTTGCTTCACGACTCTAGGATGTTTTACTAGTGTCTTTGTACCATATCTGTGCGAGTGGATGATGTGGTTTGAACCTTGAAGTGTGTTTATTTCCATATGTCTTTGACTTTTAACTGTTACATATTCGGACAATTGTTTGCAATATATCATATTCATACCTTAAGTTTGAAGCGTACATTATTATTTAACTATCCACCAGCTATCATAGATACTTATAGAGAAACATGGACTGGCAATATTAGTTGTAGTTATTTAATTTCTTTGGATTAAAACACTAAGTGTTGCACCGTGCGCACAGCATTTTTAACAATTAAAGCCTTATTAATGAAAATAGAAGATTACTTAAATATTTAACAGTCCATATGTAACATAGGTACTTTCAAACATATGAAAATTCAGAGATACCAAATAGTTAATTTCATCCAACCAGATGTAAGTTAGGGCAACTCCATCCGAGCAGCACTCCTGCTGTGGATGACGGCGGCCACACCCAACACGAAACCTAGCAAGGACACCATGCCCATAGTCCTAATCATTTTCTCCTTCGCCCTCATCTTCCCTAATGCCACCTGCAGGACTTCGTTTTCTTTTTTCAGCCTTTCAATGAGAGCAACCATTTCTTGAGTTTGTTGGGTTTCGTCTCCCTCGCCGCCACAAGTTCCCAGCGCGCGTAGCCTAGCGATCTGTTCCGCCTGTTCCCGAATCAAGTCCCTCGCCTCGAGTAACGCTACTTTCTGCCATCCATACGGCTTCTCTACATCCCGCCAGCGAAAATAGTCGCATACATTTTTATACCCTTCGCCGCACCCGTAAAATCTTCTCCCTGGATTAGCGTCCGTCCAAGCCTGACGAAGTACTGCTGTTTTACCGCAGTAGCAGAGAAAACCGCCTTCTCGTTGGACAATGCTTCGGTCTCCCACCGTTGAACTTGATCCACTTCCTGATGAGCTGCTCTTGTTTTTCGGCATCATTTTCTCCAACACATAAGCTGTTATCCTAAACCTTTTTTTCTTCTTAAACTTACAGGCTCCAACCTCTCAAGAAATATCAGGCGGTTTTTTCCAACGTGGCGGACCCCACAACTTCACGCGGTGGGCATTTATTGTGTTCTCGTAGCAGGGAGCTCTACAAAACTAGGTTCCCTAGTTCGTCTCGTCACATCCATCATATCTGTTCACATAGTGTAGCGTTATCTTCAAGAGGCATTATCGTTTGGATATTCATATAATGTCTGAGTAAAACTACGTTATCCAAGTTGCAATAATTTTTTTAAAAAAAAAAAAAAAAAATTCGGCTTCCCATCAGTAATGCGTTCACCCGTTTTACGTACTTTTTTAGGTATCCACTTTTGGTTTTCAATCTATAATGTAGAAGGCTAAGTAGATAGACATTCATGAAATGAAATATATTACATTCATAGGCGTGCGGACTCACACGATCAACGCAATACACCCGTTGTGCCAAGTTCATCATCGTTTTACAAAACATTAACAAGTTTTTAACAGGCGGCACTAATATTTTACAAGGAAAATTAGCCGCTTGATTTCTTCCGTTTCCATTTCATCTTAGATCGCCGAGCTGTTCTTACACATGCAAAAGGGACAGCTTTCTTATCTGTTGAATTTAAAGAACCATTTGTTAGATAGCTATAAGTGGACAACTTATGTAGTGGACAATGTAAACCACCGTATGTTAGGGATTAATATCTTACCATACATAGCTTCTTATTTATATCGGCATCTTGCAGGTGGCACGATTATGACCAAGCCCATGGCAACGCGTGCAGCTCCGTTTCGTCTTCTTTGTTGATTTCTGCTTTAAATGTTATGTATACTCAAATTAACCCATATACGCTGATATATTAAATGGTAGACTGCTAATTTAGGTAACTATACCTTACACTCCCCTGCGGAAAGGAATCTAGATCGTTTTGGCCTACCTGGTGGCCTTCGGGTGAGTGGTGGCAAGACATTCAAGGTCGCTACCCCATCCGGTACATTGCGCAGAGTGCAAAGGTCTGGGACTGGGTGGATGCCTCCGTTGTATGCGAGAGTCCAGAAGAAGCTTCCATATTCTGGAGCTGCTAGGTCGGGGACCCTCATATCACACCGGACTGCAGCGGCTATTGCGTGGCTGCATGGTATCTTAACCATTGTGAACTCCTCGCAGGTGCATATCTTATTATGGAGGTCCACAATGTAAGATAACCCCGTAGTTGTTTTCACCTCATACTGCTCGGGAGTGATCCTTATCACCTCGTAGGACGTACTGCGTTCGTAGTTTTTCAAAACCAGCTCCTCCACCTTTGGAGTTAAGGGCATTGAGTGTAGCGCTGCCTTTTCCCTCCTCTTGGAGAACCATGTCATGAGAGTGGCTCGGATATACTCGAGTGTGGAAACAATAGGCAGCTCACGTGCCTCTTTTAGGACCGCGTTCAGCGACTCAGCCACATTCGAAGTCATGATGTTGTATCGCTGTCCATTGCAGTGGGACCTTGTCCAATGTTCCCATCCGATTGCCAGGAGGTACTCTGCGCACCGTGGAGACACCCGCTCTATTTCCTCAAAGTGCTCTTTGAAAGTTGTTTTTTTGAAAGCCCTTGCGGCTTTGGAAATCAGTGGTGCTAGTAGCCGCTGCTTAAATTTCGCCGCCACGTTCCGTTGGAGGTGCACGATGCATGCGCCATGCGCCGCTCTTGGGTACACCTGCAGCGAAAATGTCAGTTTGAATATGTAAATATAATGGTGTATGTGTATTATAATAATTAGCGCGGTATATTTTTATGTAACACTTTATTAAAAATTATTAGTCTCTATACCTTGGTGAGCCCGCTGTAGATTGAATTGTGGCGGTCCGATACAAATGTCAAGTCTTCCTCATCCGGAATGATTTGCTTCAGGCACTCGAAGAACCATTCCCACGCCTTGTCATTTTCCCCGTCTACGATCCCAAATCCTATAGGGAATATCTGAAAGTTGCCGTCTTGTGCGCTAGCGGTGAGGAGGCAACCAGCGTACTTACCGCGCAAGTGTGCTCCGTCGATTATGACCACCTTTCTCATAAACTTCCACCCTCTAACACTCGCCCCTAGTGCAACAAAGCAATATTTAAATCTTCTCTCCCCATTATTGTCTGCCTCCGTGTGTAACTCCGTCACCGTACCCACATTGGCTTTAGATAGCATGTGTAAGTAAGCTGGTAGGATCCCGTAGCTTCCCGTTGTTGAACCTTTAGCCATGTCCACTGCCAATTCTCTGGCTCGCCAGGCCTTCCAATAAGACACGTTGACACTGTACTCGTCCATCAAAGCTCGCTGGATGCCTATTGGATTCGGTCCTAGTGCTGCTCCGGCGTACTTGGCCTTCATGATCTGAGAGATGACGGAGGTGGTTGCTTGTCGTTGGTATTGACTTCTCACTTCCACAGGGCAGTTATGTTCTAACATAGCGGTCCGCACCTCAAAGTATTCTGTATCTTCTAGGCGGACACAGTAAACTCTCCATGGGCAAGCGTCGGAGACGCACCGTACAATGACTACGTCGTTTGTTGTGCGCTCGTTACGGTAACTGAACCTTCTGTTGATGGCATGAACGGCTATTTTAACCTTGCAGTCATCTCGGTTCTTGAAAACCCTACCAACGAATAGCGCGTCCCCTTCGTAGTCCACATCTAGGACGACCAGTCTTGTTC